CTTGCCTGTAGTAGAACTGCGCACAAGGACGCGCTTCCACGTCTCATACCAACAGCCCCAGTTATAGGTGCCGGTTTGGAGAAAAGTTTCGGTTCTATTAGGGAAACAAATCAAAACTAGACTGTTAAATGTTTTGGCATTTCCTCTAGACAACTAAATCTACTTGGACAGCATGACACTTCCATCATCCTTTAATGTTGACTCGCTTTGGACAGGTTGGTCAGACTCTCAAGGTCTAGTCTAGACCCAGCTACAAATGTAGCAAGTAGGGCCTAACCGTTCATTTAACCACTGGTTATTCATGATCGATTGTTAGGAAAACCCTACCACGTTATTATTATGATCGATGTGTAGAAAACCCTTTTTTTTTTTAAACCCCCCCCCAAACCGGGTTTTTATTTGATCGATGTTAGAAAACCCCTTACCACCGTTATTATGATCGAATTGTTAGAAAACCCTTACCTCGAAGTCCTAGCTGCAGTGACTGGGCCCGTATCTTCTAAAGAATTTTTGTGCAAAAAGTGGCTCCTAGCGGCCAAATGTCTAAGAAAATTCTCAGAGGCATGACGTTTTCTTAGAATTTCCCCTAAAAGTGACACGAAAATCCCAGTTAATATAAAAGCTATTCCTCAAGAGTCCTAGCGCTTAAAAGGGCTCCTAAGGCGAGATCTGCTAAGAGCAGGGAAGAGGACTTTTAGTGGCTTAGGAGTTACCCTAAGCAGCTGCACAAAATGGCCAACAGAGGAGGCAGGAGAGATGTCCTGCAAACACTGGATGACAGGGAATTATTGAGACGCTACAGATTGGATCGTGCAGGAATCATGTTTGTGGTGGATCTCCTTAGAGATGCAATTACTTCACCAACTCGACGCCACAACGCTATTACACCGGAGAAGAAAGTAATCACAACCCTGAGGTATTTGGCAACAGGGAAAATGCAACAATGCAGCAGTGATGACTTGGGTCTGTCCCAATCCTCCGTCAGCAGAGTCCATCACCCAAACACTGACAGCTTTGTCACAACCTAATATTGTGACACAATTTGTTTCATTCCCGCTGGATGCCCGCACTTTACACACACATAAAAGGGCATTTATGGACATTGCAGGATTCCCTGGCGTTGTGGGTGTAATTGATGGAACACATGTGAGAATAATTGCGCCATCAGAGGACGAGGCTGTCTTTGTTAACAGGAAGAATTTCCACAGCATCAATGTGCAAATAGTGTTCAATGCGGCCTGGAAGATTTTGGACATTGTGGCTAAATGGCCAGGCTCCACACATGATGCGAGAATGCTCTCCGAGAGTGGCATCAGACAGCTTTTTGAGAGACGCTATGTGCCAGCTAATTGCCACTTGTTAGGGGACAGTGGCTACCCATGCAAACCATGGCTCCTTACACCTTACCTCCAGCCACGCCAAGGGCCCCAACTAAACTATAACAGGTAAGCCAAACAATACAAAAATCATGGAAATGAAATGCAAGCAATATGTTAGAGCATCCAAGTAGTGCAATATTTCCATCAAATAATTAAAGGTCTGTATTCTATTGTAGGGCCCACAAGACAACAAGAGCGGTGGTGGAGCGTGGCATAGGCCAGCTTAAGAGGCGCTTTCATGTTCTCCACGGAGAGGTGCGGCTGAGGCCTGAAAAAGTCAGCAAACTCATCATAGCCTGTGCAATATTACACAATATTTGCAAGGTTAGACAGATTGCAGAACCTCTGGAGGATGGCGATGAGGATGAGGATGGAGACAACGATGAGGATGGTGGTGAAGAAGATATTCACATTCCACAGGGGAACCTAGCCCAGAGTGGACTGCCTTACAGGGCAAACTTCACAAATTTACATTTCAGGCAAGCTGTAGCCCCATGTCATTTGAGAACTTGTGATGGTATTAAGAACTACCACAGTTTTACTGCACATCACCTGCAACTGTTAAATGCAAGACACAGAACACAATCTCTAAATGGTTTATTTTTTAGGTGTTCAATTTTAAGGCGGTAGTACTCCTCCTGAAGGGAAAGGACTTTTTTTTGTTGTTCAAACACATCAATTGTGAGTTGCAATCTTCTCTCCTGCAGGGATGCTGACGGAGCAGGTGCTGCGGATGGGAATGGTGTTTGATCCGCCGGGCTATCCTGAGTAGCAGCTGCAGATGGTTCAGGCGGCAAACTTGATGGGCCCGGTTCTTGTGATGGCTCCATGCTACAGAAATACATAGGCCTAGTTTAATTATTGTTTTGATTAAATTAATTTAATACAATGAGCATGGATAACACATGAAATGGCTTCTGCAATGAATAAACACTGTTGATATGAATAACCCTGTGTCCTACCTTTGCTGCATTTCAAGGGCCTGCATCATTGACGTGTCAATGCCTGTTGGCAGCCCGGTGACACTGACCTCAGAGTGTCCCAGGACTTGAAAGACAGTGTCGGCCACCTGGGACAGCCGCTTTGCAGGTGGTCCATCCCCTAGAAAGAAACAGTCAATGAACACAGTACTTAGGCATGTAAATTAACTTTGCCAGCAGGAGCAAATTGCCAGATTATGTGGTAGGCCATAGTATTTTGCTCACCTGTGAGTGAGGATTCCCGCTTGTGTGCTGCAATCTCATCTTTTGCCTTGGACTGCAGCACATACCACCTTTTCTCACAATCGTCGCCTGTCCGCACCACCAGTGGAAAAGAGGCATTGATTGTTTGGGATATTGTGTCCCAGGCGCGCCTCTTGCCTTGGCTAGTGACAGTTGGGCCAAATTTTCCTCGTAACATACCTTTATGTTCGTTCACCAACTGGGCCAGCAACAAACCTTGCTCCTCAGTCCAGTTCGGCTTGCGATTCCTTTTTTTCTAAATTTTCTGTGTTTGTAGGATATTTGTTAACAAGCCTTCATAAATAGACCAGCCAGCAATCACAGACATTGTTAAAAGCTGAGCTGTGTTACCCTCGTTA